ATGCAATTGAACATTTTAGCAATTGTTATTGTTGAAATGAAATTTCAGTTCTATTAGTTTTATGAATTCCCAGGGATAACACAATGCAGTACTGATATTGTTATTCTGTATCGGCAAGTACTCAAATTAAGGTACTCTTATCGGTTTTGAAAAAAGTGCATCCCTAATAATTCCTTCAAAAACAAGAAATTAGAACAAATGTGACACAAGCCCTTTGTTCCTACTTAAACTGACGCCCTCTTTGAGTTTCAATAAAAAAGACTGGAAATTTGCATTTTCAGTAGTTTTTGGAGGGTTATTTATCCTGTAAAAATATCGTTTTATATCGAAAATATTGAGATATACAAAAAATATATTTTTTTTTTTCTCCATATCGGCCAGCCTTAGTCATAAGTCCTTCCACTAGCATGTTTTGGAATGTCCGGAGACTATACAATTTGTGCTCCTCCCTACATCTCTGCTGTGGGATGTGTCTGCGGCTCTCCCTTCTGCCACGCTTGTCTCTCCAGGGGTTAAACCTGTGCGTCTCTCTACAACCAGTTCAAACCGGTTTGCTGGAAGCTGGTGTTTTTTTGGGCTTATGGAATCTTGGGACGTGACCACAAGGAAGTTACAATAATGCAAGAGCGAGATCATGATGCATCATGGTAATTCAGAAAAGCAGGAGGGGCAATTGTGGTTTTATCCTTAAAGATAAATATTTGCTTTATAAATGATTTACAATTATCGAGACCCATGTCTGTGTCGTTAAGACTATACTTGTTTGTTTTTGAAAAAGCCTTTCCCCCGATAGGTACAAAGTTTAGTTCAATTGGAAATAACATAAATATATGGTTAAATAAATTATACATGATCATTGATACATCCTTTTTATGTATTAATTATTATTAAATGTGCAACTCACTATACATTGTGAAATCTTGGTAGGCTAATGACCCATGCATTGTTTGAAAGTATATTTTAAGGTATCCACAAGTTTAAATGAATGGAAAAAACAAATGTTTTAATAATCTCAGAACTTCATGAATGCATCCAGTTTCTCAAATGTAAACCGACACACAGGTTTGACAGCTGTGTGAACCTATCATTTCTCTCCACATTTGTTCTGCTTCTGTCATGAGTTCTGCTCTGGCCACGTGTGCATTATGTGTGATGGTCACAGATCGTTTTGGAAACTATACTTTAGAGTTGTAACTACCAATTATATTGATAAATGAAAACAATTCCCTTTGATTGGTTGATTATCGTTTAGTTAAGAATTCAAATATGAGCTTGTATCTAATTTTCATAAACAAAAGTCTGAATTCAAGCCCAATATGGACATTCTATTATAATTCAAGTGATAGTCTGGAACTGTGAATGAATTAAAAATTTTAAGAATTGTATTAAATTGACCTGGGCTTAAATGTTGATATAAGATAAGTCACTTTATGAATTATAATATTACGGGTAAGTCCTGCCTTCCCTTCTCTTAGGTACAGTGCCTTGCGAAATTATTTGTCCCCCTTTCAACATTTCGCCACATTTCAGGCTTCAAACATAAAAATATACATTTTTTTTTTTGTCATGAATCAACAAGTGGGACACAATCGTGAAGTGGAACAAAATTTCTTGGATAATTTAAACTTTTTTAACAAATAAAAAACTGAAAAGTGGGGCGTGCAATATTATTCGGCCCCTTTACTTTCAGTGCAGCAAACTCAGTCCAGAAGTTCAGTGAGGATCTTTGAATGATCCAATGTTGTCCTAAATGACTGATGATGATAAATAGAATGCACCTGTGTGTAATCAAGTCTCCGTATAAATGCACCTGCTCTTTGATAGTCTCAGGGTTCTGTTTAAAGCGCAGAGAGAACCATGAAGACAAAGGAACACACCAGGCAGGTCCGAGATACTGTTGTGGAGAAGTTTAAAGCCGGATTTGGATACAAAAAGATTTCCCAAGCTTTAAACATCTCAAGGAGCACTGTGCAAGCAATTATATTGAAATGGAAGGAGTATCAGACCACTGCAAATCTACCAAGACCCGGCCGTCCCTCCAAACTTTCATCTCAAACAAGGAGAAGACTGATCAGAGATGCAGCCAAGAGGCCCATGATCACTCTGGATGAACTGCAGATAACTACAGCTGAGGTGGGAGAGTCTGTCCATAGGACAACAATCAGTTGTCCACTGCACAAATCTGGCCTTTATGGAAGAGTGGCAAGAAGAAAGCCATTTCTCAAAGATATCCATAAAAAGTCTTGTTTAAAGTTTGCCACAAGCCACCTGGGAGACACACCAAACATGTGGAAGAAGGTGCTCTGGTCAGATGAAGCCAAAATCAAACTTTTTTGCCACAATACAAAACGATATGTTTGGCGTAAAAGCAACACAGCTCACCACCCTGAACACACCATCCCCACTGTCAAACATGGTGGTGGCAGCATCATGGTTTGGGCCTGCTTTTATTCAGCAGGGACAGGGAAGATGGCTAAAATTGATGGGAAGATGGATGGAGCCAAATACAGGACCATTCTGGAAGAAAACCTGTTGGAGTCTGCAAAAGACCTGAGACTGGGACGGAGATTTATCTTCCAACAGGACAATGATCCAAAACATAAAGCCAAATCTACAATGGAATGGTTCACAAATAGACGTATCCAGGTGTTAGAATGGCCAAGTCAAAGTCCAGACCTGAATCCAATCGAGAATCTGTGGAAAGAGCTGAAGACTGCTGTTCACAAACGCTCTCCCTCCAACCTAACTGAGCTCGAGCTGTTTTGCAAGGAAGAATGGGCAAGAATTCCAGTCTCTCGATGTGCAAAACTGATAGAGACATACCCCAAGCAACTTGAAGCTGTAATTGCAGCAAAAGGTGGCGCTACAAAGTATTAGCGCAAGGGGGCCGAATAATATTGCACGCCCCACTTTTCAGTTTTTTATTTGTTAAAAAGGTTTAAATTATCCAATAAATTTCGTTCCACTTCATGATTGTGTCCCACTTGTTGTTGATTCTTGACAAAAACATATCATTTTTATATCTTTATGTTTGAAGCCTGAAATGTGGCGAAATGTTGAAAGGTTCAATGGGGGCCAAATACTTTCGCAAGGTACTGTATCGCTCAAAATCCACATTGCCGTCCACTTTAACCAATCAAGTGATGCCAAGGGCTGTCAATCATCGGCGCGCATGCTTGGTTGTTTATTTTCAAGGAGCTTCCGAATCAAGCCTCCATTAGGCTCTGGAACTTCATGAAATCTGAACAAAGAATTCTGAACATCCGCGCTGAGTTACCCATATTATATACTGAACCTATATCCATAATCATTTATATACTGAACCTATATCCATAATCATTTATATACTGAACCTATATCCATAATCATTTATATACTGAACCTATATCCATAATCATTTATAAACTGAACCTATATCCATAATCATTTATAAACTGAACCTACAGTGCCTTGCGAAAGTATTCGGCCCCCTTAAACCTTTCAACATTTTGCCCTATTTCAGGCTTCAAAACAAAGATATAAAATTGTAATTTTTTGTCATGAATCAACAAGTGGGACACAATCGTGAAGTGGAACAACATTTATTGGATAATTTAAACTTTTTTAACAAATAAAAAACTGAAAAGTGGGGCGTGCAATATTATTCGGCCCCTTTTTACTTTCAGTGCAGCAAACTCACTCCAGAAGTTCAGTGAGGATCTTTGAATGATCCAATGTTGTCCTAAATGACTGATGATGATGATAAATAGAATCTCAGGGTTCTGTTTAAAGCGCAGAGAGAACCATGAAGACAAAGGAACACACCAGGCAGGTCCGAGATACTGTTGTGGAGAAGTTTAATGCCGGATTTGGATACAAAAATATTTCCCAAGCTTTAAACATCTCAAGGAGCAACTGTGCACTGTGCAAGCATGCCCGTCCAAATTATCTATTGAAGAGGCCCATGATCACTCTGGATGAGATATCAGACCACTGCAAATCTGGCCTACCAAGACCACCTGGGGAGACACACCCATCCCAGATCCAAACTTTTTTCAATGCAAAACTCGTAAAAGCAACACAGCTCATCACCTTGAACACACCATCCCCACTGTCAAACATGGTGGTGGCAGCATCATGGTTTGGGCCTGCTTTTCTTCAGCAGGGACAGGGAAGATGGCTAAAATTGATGGGAAGATGGATGGAGCCAAATACAGGACCATTCTGAAGAAAACCTGTTGGAGTCTGCAAAAGACCTGAGACTGGGACGGAGATTTATCTTCCAACAGGACAATGATCCAAAACATAAAGCCAAATCTACAATGGAATGGTTCACAAATAGACGTATCCAGGTGTTAGAATGGCCAAGTCAAAGTCCAGACCTGAATCCAATCGAGAATCTGTGGAAAGAGCTGAAGACTGCTGTTCACAAACGCTCTCCATCCAACCTCACTCGAGCTGAGCCTGTTTTGCAAGGAAGAATGGGCTAAGAATTCCAGTCTCTTGATGTAACAAAAACTGATAGAGACATACCCCAAGCAACTTGCAGCTGTAATTGCAGCAAAAGGTGGCGCTACAAAGTTTATGTATCTAGCGCAAGGGCTGCCGAATAATAAATTGCACGCCCCACTTTTCAGTTTTTTATTTGTTAAAAAAGTTTTAAATTATCCAATAAATTTCGTTCCACTTCACGATTGTGTCCCACTTGTTGATTCTTGATTCTTTCGTTTGACTGAAAAAATTGAAATTTTTTTTTATATCTTTATTTTTGAAGCCTGAAATGTGGCGAAATGTTGAAAGGTTCGACATTTATGGAATTGATCACCCGCCCCTTATCCGCTCTTGTTTTTGAGCTGTTTTACTGTTGGCAAATTCAACGGTTTTGTTAAGTCCTCTGAGCTAACTGCCGGTACTGTTGTGATTTTTGGCTATACAAGAATAAATGGAATTGAAGTAAAGCCACTGAACCTATACCTAACCATCTCCTTTTCAATATTTTTCCTCAGCTCACTCACGGCGTAATGAACAAGGAACTGAAGGCGTGCACGAACCCCGAGGACCTGGAGTGCAACGAAAACGTCAAGCACAAGACGAAAGAGTACATCAAGAAATACATGCAGCGCTTTGGCTCCGTGTACCGGCCCAAAGAAGACACCGAGGTCTGCTAACACAAACTGTGAGAGCCAGGGCCGCCAAATCTTTTCTACAAATCCGTCGTCCAGTTTTGCCTCCAAGACTGAGCAGAGGTGACGGTGACAGGTGCTATAGACGTTCTTCAAAGACTGTTTTAGCATTATTTCATTTAAAAACACCAGTCGCATCTATTCCATTTTAACCCGGTCCAGCTTATAATTTGGAAAACGTTTTGGGGTTTTGTCATTTTGGCATTGACATCATAAAAATTAAGAGAATTGCTACTAAATGACTAGCGTGCCCTTCTATTTGCTGGTTCTTTCTACGGTGCTGCTTTTAACCGGTCCGCAGAGGTCCCTGCCTTCTGATCCATTTAACGTCCATTCAATTGAGATGTTTTTATATATTTTGTCAGAATTTAACCAATGAGATTTAAACCATGTTGTAATGGTTTGCCCCTCTTCATTTGCCCAAAGCAGACATATTATGCAAACCTTTTCCCTGTTTTGACCCAGTTACAACATTGAGCCCTCATCATAAACGGATCTGGAGTTGCTTTTAGATCCATCCACGCTAACATCAGGAACTTTTGGCACAAACTTGTAACCATTATCACGTTAGTTTTCTGCCCTTATATTAGCTTTGGCAAGATTTCAGCTGAAATGACATTCTCTAGTCACATGGCAGTGATTGCAGCTGGTAATTTTCAAATTTGATTTTTTAAATGTTTTGATTTCCTCTTGTGGCCGCATAAGGAGTTACACGAGAAAAGGCATCGTCTACCCTTTTTACATGTTCCATCATACATTTTTCTACTTAAGCTATTATTTCATATTCTTAAACATGAGTTGACAAAAGTTTGATTTTCAACGTACAAAAATACTGCATAATATTTCTTCTTTAAAGCCAAGTTGTTTCCGTGTCTATGTTCCTTGCATTGTCCAGTTAGTTATTTTTTGTATAGAAATGGTCCCTGATCACATTTGCAACATTATTTAATAGGTTTTTTGTGTGTGGTATAATCTAGTACTTCCTTTTGTACATGAAACTCTTGCTTTTATCTTAGAATCGTATCTTTATTGGAAAAATTTGTGCCTGAAAGAGAATGAGCAAAAATAGCAAAACATAGGAACTGCAATTAAGTTTCTTATTATGATAAAGATAAGCCTCATTGCTTTACTGCAACCTAGTTCGCCAAAGGCCGGGTTAAAATAACTCCACATCCACGACAATAGAAGCTTTGAAATTGTTGGTCATTGAGTGAGCTAAATGCGTTTGCACACAGCATCAGCGATCACAGGGTCCAGAGGCAGATGGCTTGGCGTCAGTGTAGGGTTTCTGTCAGAGAATGTACCAGCCATGACCTCGGACTAGCAATCCACCATAAGGGGGGGGTGGAGTATTTCTGTGGCCTGAGGCCAATTTTTTTATTTCAATTGCAGATGTTCAATTTAGAACTTCAAGGCAGATTAGTTTGTGTTTTCCTGTTTTTTAAAGAGCTGCAAATATTTGATGCTAATTCATTGATTTTGTGATATGAACGGAAAGAAGGTTTATTTTGAGAGGAAAAAGGTTTTTTTTTTTTTTTTTAAAAAAAAAATGAGAGCGTATCCTGTGTTTTTTTGTGGTAGATCTATATAGTTCGTCTTTGGCATCTGTTTCTTTTTTTGTGAGTTAATAAACCAAAAGAGACCAAATGAAAAGGTATGTAAGAGAGCATGAAAGAGTAAACTGATTTTACAGTTTTTGAGATTGTGATGTTACTAAATTGTGCAAACTGAGAACACGGATTTTGGCTCTGTATCTGATTAATTTGTTTCGCATTTTTTGGTCCTTCCATCTAATTTCTACTTTCATTTGTGTCATAAAATGTTTTAAAGTCTCAGTACAAAAAAATATCATTAAACTGTGATAAATGTCACTTGACCAACCTGGCGTACATCTTCATAAAAGGTCAATTTGAACGTAAGGAGGAATTGCACAAATCCAAGATGACAGCCATTGCTTGTTTTTCGATTGTAAAATACAGATAGACAGGATAAATTAACACTACCCACTGTGAGAAACAGCATGATTTAAAAAGTGTTGTTCTTTTCTGGAGCTGGTTTTTCTGTCCAATCCACAGCCTGCTTTTGTAAAAACATGCGTGAGTCTGGCTGGCCAGGTAGAAGACTCAGTGTTGTACGAGAAAGCTGCGAATGCTCCATTTTCAGCCTCCAGTTTTGTTTGTACAGAGGCTTTATAAATGAATTTCTGAATAGAGGTTGCCAAAAAAGGTTCGCTAACCTTTACGTTTCAACCCTAGTGGGTTTGGGTGGACAGATAAAGATAAAGATAATGTAATTTGTTTTTGTTCTAGATGATCCTGAAAAGGCATTTAAAACAAAACTTGTTCAAAATGTCAGAACAAGGCGCAAAACTGCCAAACAGCAGCTGTAAGAAGAAAATGACAAATTGTGTTTCTTACAGCGGTGGTGTAAGAAACTTCTTATTTTCATACACTTATACGTATGAATTGCCCAACTTTTCATGATCTTAAATTCAAAATGTTTAAAACTGAATGCGTCACGACATTTTCCTTTCCTATTTCAAGTCTGTGTGCACCCTGCGGGTTGTATTAAAGGAAATAGGCCACTGTTTTTACATACTGACATATGTTCTTACTTACCTTAGACTAGTTTTGATATGTACCTGTCTGGTCCTTTGTCCGTGCGCTCTGTCATGCAAACGGAGCACAAACGCAGCCCTTCCACATACTGTAATAGTACCAAATCATCTCCCGTTAAGAAGCTACCAAACCACCTTCCACGTGTTCCCAATTTAAATACATTACGTGACGTGTACACTACAAAGTATAGTAACACAGAAATTTAACATATCGATTTTCTCAGCATAAAAAGAGGTACTATATTGTGAGGCGTAAAATACGAGGAGAACTACGTTCCGCAGCACTAACAGCCAATAACTTCTCTCCCGCTTCATAGCTGCTTCTATTGACGGAAGTGAGCGGGAGAGAAGTCTTTAGGAGTTAGTGCGCGGACATAGAGCTCCTCGTATTATTAACGCCTCACAATATAGTACCTCTTTTTCTCCGCCTGAGAAAATCGATATGTTAAATTTCTGTGTTACTATACTTTGTAGTGTATCACGTCACGTAACTCGGTTTTAAAAAGGGAACACGTGGAAGAGTAATGTAGCTTCTAATTGTGGAGCTGATTGTACTATACAGAAATGTGGAAGAGGCTGCGTTTGTGCCAGTTTGCATGATAGAGCGCACGGACAAAGACCAGCAGTACATATCAACTATCTAAGGTAAGATCATATGTCAGTATAAAACGTGGCTTATTCCTTAAAAACCTGAAGCCACATGGAAACTTTAATGGAGCTTGCATTTTTGATATAATCTAACATATTATAGTTACCTCCGCAAGGGTTTTGTAGTCAAACCAGGTTTGCTTTGGTCTGCTGTTTGTTAAATTGCAACTCAAAAGTTGGTCATACTCTCTTCAGGAGAACCATTTGACTGACTTCAGCGGAGGTTCACAGATCAAAGTGCAAGCATAATCTGGTTTTTAATAACCTTTAGCCCAAAAAGTAACAGGTTATCCAGAACAGTTGTTTCAGACATGAACACATAGAAGGGTGCTGCAGGCTAAACCCGGGTCCAGATACAATTAGACATTGAACTAATCGTCCACACATGATGCACTTGTATTTATGGTGAAACTTCAACCGTAACTGTTTAAGAAGCTTGTCCATAAAGTGGATGGTTAGTACACTAAATTATAGTCCACTGAAAATGATAAAAAATTATGATGTGCCACAGTAATTCCAAAAGTTTTAATTCGTCGTATTATTCAGATTTTAAAATATAAACTCAAAACACATTACTTTTTTGATTTTCCTCTCCGCTGTGTAGAAAGTCGGCGAGACAAGACCGGGATACAAGGCAAAAGTGAATAGTGAGTTCAACGTAAAGATCATTAAGCAGAACATGAATAATTACAGAAAGTGTATCACATAAGTGACCCCCTACAGTCTCTTTGTTTTGCCCATTCTCTGTTAAGGTCAAGATACACCAACCTGATGGTTGGCGTTAATAAATGGTTTGATGTGTTCCTTCACGTTGGAAGCGTTTGGGACTCTGCGTGTTGGTAACTGTGTATGTGACATGTACTCGCACGTAGTGCTTTGGCTCACAGTGAATAAGGTCCAGTTGCTACAACAGGTGCACAAGTGAAACAAACCCTGCTTCTCTTGCCTTTCAAGGGCAATATATTTTGTAAAATAATAATTCCTAACTAATGAGATGATTAATAACCAGACGTGCCTTGGAACTATTTCTGATACAATCCAACTTTATAATGAAAAACGGGTGGTGGAGCATCATTCTATTACAGCATTGTGATGACCAAGCCCGGCTGGCTGAGCTCCTTGATGGTGTTAAAAGGAAAAGGGATATATGGTCTGACTGAAACTATATAGAAAGCTATTACTAACAGGTGAAAGCCATCCAGATTTATTTTATCCAGACAATGGTGCAGCTAAAACCGCTTCTCAAGGCCACAAAGGGTGAGCTGATTGTCATGTACATGTAAATAGAACATTTTAAATGAGCAGGCGGAAGAGGAGAATTACATTTTGGAACCGATCAGAGGAACAGAAATCATTTTGAGAAAGCAGAGGCTCAGAAAGAGCACAGGACATACAAAGAGATTGGTCTGAAAAATGAGGTGACACAGCATTTTACGTGTGAGAAAAAAAGGCCAGGCAATATTCAAATGTCTGCGCTTCTCATTTACCGACTGCAATACCACTTTATGTGGTGCGAATTCTCAGCTTGTTCTGGGAACATCAAGGTCCCCTTGGCCCTTTGCTTGCCTTAAATAAGAATAAAGTGCAAGAAATAATTTGGACACCTGGTACACAAGAGTTTAAAATAGCTGCGTGGGCTCATGGTCTCGAGCTTTAGAGTTTGTGGATAAAACACAGTTACTTAAGTCATGATTCAATCTAGCCACACCAGAGAAAGCAGCACGAGACTACATACAATAAAACACTGAATGAGGAAACGTTTGAGAAAGGTAAAGAGAAAAAGATAATTTTCCCATATTTCAGTTTTGCAATGCAAAGTAGAACTGTAGGAATAAAGGACTCAAAGTGAGATGATGAACAAAAAATCCAAATAAACTCAAAACAGTATGCTATATTAATGTACTATAATCATATAGTATATCAAGTAACTAAGGTTAGCTATAAGGAGTTGAAGACAAAAAGGGATGTCACACTGAAGAAAAACCTCACCGACCAATCAAAATTTACTTGGAGAATGATAACAGCCACCCACCAGAAAGTCGTACACGGGGTATATGGGATTTTGTGAGATCAATGACACGTTCTGCTAATTTTTCAATTGAATAGTAGGATTATGGCACACTAGAGACAAGGAGACTTGAGAGCTCCTAGTTTGAGCACTTGACACGCAACTTAATATCTATGATTGTGTACAGACCAACAGAAGACTGTCAAACAGTGTAAAATGTAAAAAAGAAAAAAAGGGCCGGCACATTGCAAATTATTGCAATAGCTGAAAAGCTGACAGAAAGCATTTACATGTCAGCCCTATGTTTATCAATGGCCCTCTCTGATAGACTTCAGTTACAGACCCAGTGGCTGTCTGCCTCTTTGATGGGCAGTTAAATCAGTCTGCATCTCGTCACAGTTCCCACTTTGCTCTGTGCCAGACACCAACTCCATCTGAGGCACCTAGAAGGACGTCTACACAAGGCTGAGTGACCGTGAAGAATAGAGGCAGGTGGTGTTTTTGTTACGTAGGGCTGCGTGTGTGTGGAGAAGGATATGTGTGTACGGTGGATCGAGGGTATGGAGCTGTTAGCTGGAGCCACCTGAGATCCAGATATTGAGCCAATGAGGTCTCCCGCTGACTGGCCCATGCCCTTTCTCTGCTGCTACTTGAGCGACAGCCAGCAGCTAAACACAAGGACACACAGAATTCAGGACCTGAACCAGAGCAGCCAAAAGTGTGAGCTGAGGATTTTTTTCTACATCTCAGAGCAGATTTGGCTGCTATATATATATCTCTATATATATATATATATAGATATATATATATAGATATATATATATATATATATATATATATATGAACCAGACAAGACCCAAGGTGTCGGCTGTGCAAAGAGGCACCTGAGACGATCCAACACATAACTGCAGGGTGCAAGATGCTGGCAGGGAAGGCCTACATGGAACGCCATAACCAAGTGGCTGGCATAGTGTACAGAAACATCTGTGGAGAGTATGGGCTGGAAACCCCAAGGTCTAAGTGGGAAACTCCCCCAAAGGTGGTGGAGAATGAGCGTGCGAAGATCCTGTGGGACTTCCAGATACAGACCGACCGAATGGTAATGGCAAACCAACCTGACATCGTGGTGGTAGACAAAGGGCAGAGGACAGCCGTGGTGGTGGACGTGGCAATTCCAAGCGATGGTAACATCCGGAAAAAAGAACATGAAAAGCTTGAGAAATACCAAGGTCTCAGAGAGGAGCTGGAGAGGGCCTGGAGGGTAAAGGTGACAGTAGTGCCCGTGGTGATCGGTGCACTCGGGGCAGTGACCCCGAAGCTAGATGAGTGGTTACAGCGGATCCCCGGAACAACCTCGGACATCTCGGTCCAGAAATGTGCAGTGCTAGGAACAGCAAAGATACTGCGCAGAACCCTCAAGCTCCCAGGCCTCTGGTAGAGGACCCGAGCTTAGAGAGGGATAACCGCCCGCGGAGGGCCAAAGGTGAGTGGACAATTTTTATATATATATATATATATATATATATATATATATATACTATTATTTTTTATATATTTTTTTTACAAAGTTTTGTCAACAGAAATTGAATATGTTTATTATAGCTACTTGAACGTATTTCAATATCTCAAGGTGTGAATGCAATGCTATGAAAACCTTCTAAATTAAACAACACAAATCTCTTGTTGAAAAGAGATTCCTTGTTCCAACAAATAAAGTCAACCCAGTTTTGTCAATCAAATTAATATAGTAAAATATATGAATTATAGACTGGATAATATAGAATGGAGTGGAGAGAAGACTAAAAATAAGGGGATGGGGAAGTACTGTGAATTTCAGTTAACAATGAACCAAACGAAGGGTAAAACCTTGGTGCAATCTGGGAGTAATTTTCAAGTCAAAAGAGTGTTGAAATAAGTGAGAA